AAGTAGAACTTTAGAATTAAGAATTAAAGAACATGAAGCAGCAATTAGACTAAAACATAATAATTCTCCGTGGTTCGACCATATAAAAAATAGTAAATGTAAAATAGATAGAAATAACATAAAAATAATTCACTTAGAAAAAGATATGTATAAACGTAAATTTAAAGAACATATAGAGATTATAAAATGTAAAGATGATTTAATAAACATTTCAAATGGTATGCAAATAGATCAAATGTGGTATAATATAATAGAGGGCGCTAATAGATAAATTTGTTTGTAATGCCTTGTGACATAAAATAATACGTGAAATATATTGTAAAAGTGTGGATGTATTCTCTCGAGAATGTGTTAATGGTAATACACCACATGTTATTAACCTGTAAAACGTTCATTATTGCTGCAACATTTTATTGTAGAACATACACATTTTTTAAAGGTTGTAATTATAAAAGTTTTTATGAACAATTGTTAAAAGTGAGTATCATGTTATTTTTTGATGTTAAAAATGTATAATGTTATAAAGTAATAATTATAAATATATTGATATATTAGGATCAACGTATTAATGTGAAAATGTATTTGAAGTGTTTTTAAATGGCTGTATTTTTAAACTCTTTCCAACGTTACCAGTTATACACCGGAGGTTTTTAAAAAACAGAACCTTAGGTAACGTATAAGTCTAACAATTTTTTAATAGTTTTATGTCAGTAAATATAATCTACACGCGAAGAATTTGTCATCTCACTAATTGTATATAACCTTTTTGTTTTTAAGTAATTGTATATAAAATTTTTTAAATAATTTGTAGATTTGAACTGAAGAGGGACTTAAAATACAAATAAGTCCAAAATGCATTTGTCAAACCAATAAAAGAAGTACCTAACCTGAAAGCTGTATATGATAGTCTACCGAAACGAATTGATCGGATTAAAGAGATACATTCACAACGAAATAGCAGCTGCCATAAGTGATTTTTTGAAATGTTATATCAACCCAAGGGTCAATATCAACCACTTTGGCAACTCCTGCTTTAGATGGTTAATTATGCTTGTAATCATAAGTGAGCTTTTTGCTTTGCTAACAGTATCTATTTAGTTATTGTATGTACAAAAGGAAATGTTACAAGACAACTGATATCCCCCCATAAATAATGCCCATAACAAAAGATTAAAATATAAATAACAAAGAATAAAAATCAATACACACGATAAAAGAATATACATAAATAAAAACAAAAGATTATATATTGTAAAGTAACCATTTAAAAATGTGTTTAAAATGTAGAATATCTTCATGTAGGATTGTTCCAGACAGCCCATATTCTGAACAGACCAATAGAAAAATGATCTGAGAGAAATGGAAAGCCTAAAACAGTGTTTCTCAATGGGGCGATATTGCCCCATGTGGGCGTTTTTCCATGTTGAGGGGGCAATTAGTAACAATTTATATTTTGGGGAGGTGAAAAACAATTTTCTGGATGATATAGTAAAACATTATATTAAGAATAATTAGATATTTTATTTGTTATATCGTACAATAATTAAACAAATAACATTATACTAGTCACTAGTCTATTCAATGCACTATGAATTTGGCGTTAGCCTTGGCCCTCAGCATCGGAATTTTGAAGTGAAGGGGGCAATACTACGTAACAATCATCAAATTGAAGGTAAATGAAAAACAAGTTGAATGTGTAAACTACTTTCCAATATGATTGTTTGGTGGGTTGGTTCAATTCAATCAGAGTAGAAACTCTTTTCACTTTTACCAAATGACCATTACCAAAAGCATGTCAAATGGCCTTGATTGAATGTATAAACAATTGCAGTGACAAGAACCAACAGATTGAATGTGTCCATTCTACTGTGTACAAAGGAAAAGGTATACAGAAATAACCAACGATCGCCTTTAAATATCATGCTATAATCTGGCTAATTAAATGATTAATTATCATTTAATTAGCCCGATATTTAAGGCGATCATTGGTTATTTCTGTATATGTATTGGGCTTTGAGTTGTTTATTATTTATATGAAAAGGTATATTGTTCTATCTGAAAAACATGTTGGCAGAAAATATCATTTAAAATGGTAGAAAAACAAACACATTTTGATATGAGTAAATTTTAAAAATTTACCAAAACTACAAGAATAACGCTTGCAGAAGACATTTTGATGCACTAAGGACATTAATCAAAATCCATGGTCATATTCAGCAATGTCACTTATTCTTTTTTTAAAAAACTTTTTAAACTTACTTTTGCATTGCACAACAAATTATTTGTACTCCTACATGTACTATTTCACTCAATGTTGTTTTGTTTTTAATTCATCATCCAACTTATATCAACCTGTAAAAATGTGTCTCGTTCTTCTTCAAGTTCAATTTAAGTTGAACAATGCTAGTCATTTGATTTGAACTGACTCATGTAAATGTGCTTTCAGTTAGAATGACTATGTGAATCTGCATCAAATGTGTCACATATAACCAATTACACATTGTATAATGGTCCATGTAGCCAGCTGTTGCGTTTGATATATATCTCACTTCAACAAAGTAGAAATGTCCATCATTTATCCATTACTTCAAAGACTTAATCAAAAATTTCAAATTCTCTCAATGTATTTTGATTTATAATTTTGTTGTATGCTGTACATACTTTGGTTATTTCTCAGTTATTTGTAGAAAACCTTAATTGTTATAAATTTATTGTAACTTTTATCATATTTTTATTTCCTGAAATATTAAATGCTTTGCTAGAAGTCACTTTGGTAAGATTCCAGTTCTGAAAAGTGGTTGAAACTGTATCAGAGCTGTGGATCATGCCCATAAAAATAAAAAGTCAAAGAAATTGATGGTATACACGTGACCCTTTGCAAGATATATTCCCCTCAAATCAGCATATTAAACATGTGATGAGCTTAATGGAGCATGCCGTGTACCTTTAGATGTCTCCAGTAAAGTGAAAAACAATTGATTGCTAGCATTGTTTTGAGAAATAGTTCCAATTTTTAAAAACCTATTTCTGAGGGTCTTCAATATTCCAGACAGACAGATTTTGGGAGCTATACCTCACAAAGAATCACATGTAGCCCATTGGTTCCTTTTGACTTTTTTATTCCTATGGTCTACAACTCTGATAAGGTCCCAACAATAATCTCGGTTAATGGTAAAAATGGCCGGCAATAACTTAAATATATCGTTGAATAAATAATATCATAAGTAATCAATATTGATTATTTTCTTTTTAATTAGATGAATTAGTATATATTTTAGAAAATTTAAGACCAACACATGATGTAAATATAATATGATTAATTTTCATTCAATACAGTAATTCACGTGTTAAAAATTATATTGATATAAATTACCTTCTCCTTGTTCCACCTGATCTGCCCAACTTGGTTTCGTCCTATTAATAAAATTTACATAAATTATGTTATATTATCTGAAATTTATTAAAATATGACTTAATGTTCGTTCCATATTGTATACTCACTCAACGTCGGTCGACACCATCTTTTCTCTGTCGATTGAATAAAACTGCCAGATGACAATGAATGCAAATAAAAAATAATTGATTAAAACTCAAAAAATGGCAAAAGTGTTAATTTTTAATGTTTTAATTTTATCAAATTATTTAGAAATATAATAGTATTTATAATTACAAATGTTTTTATTTGTTTTGATATTTTTGGGCTCTTTTAAAATTCTATCCTATTCATCAGTACTAAATTTACTGAAGGATAGGATAAAATTTAACTCAAGCTTTGTACTCGAGGATAATACTCAAGAATGAGGTATTTTATCAAGTACCAGTGGTCAAATGGATAAAATTACTGAACGCTGACAGTTGGTGGCAGGTTTGCGCCTGACCAACGGGCTGGCCACGTGGCCAATTTCCCCTGCTTTCTTCACGTCTCTAAAACCTAAATGGGGCCAGTTTTCCCATAGAACAGGGGCGGACTAAGGCCTAGGCAACCTAGGCACGTGCCTAGGGCCCGTAATTTTTGGGGCCCGGAAATTAGGTTTTTAATTTTTTAATTTTAAAAATAGGCTCGGAATTACAATGTTGCCTAGGGCCCGCTTTAGCCTTAGTCCGCCTCTGCCATAGAAAGTCCTTTCGGGTAAAAGATCGTCCTCGTGTTGCCTTGCTGTTTCCTATCAATCCATGCCCATTATGGGTTAGTTCAGTCCTACAACGAGTCGATGGGTAATGACATATTCGGTCAAAATTATCCATGGGAATTTCTGAGAGTCCAATTTGCATTGGAATTGAATACTTCAAAAGGCAAATTGATTTTATGCTTCTGCCATCTCGATTCTCTTCCTTTCCTACAGATATTTTTTTGCTTTTTTTCATTTTAAAATCTTTCCGGTCTGTGGGCACTAAGAAACTTGTTTTAGTTTGATGCGATGCGGCCATGCAATACGGAAGATTTGCGAAGGAAAAATGTGTCTCGGGAAGACTTTCAAGAGGAAACTGGCCCCTACTTAAATGTTAGATGTGTGAAGAAAACCAGGAAAACTACAGCCAGCTTGTGACGATACATAAACCCACTTTAATAGTTTTATTCACTTGGCCATAGGTGAGTACTGTACATTTAAAAGATCTTTATTCATACCAATCGATTAGTGGGTTCTGCCATCCCACAGTGGGAGCGGTCGAGTGATGGGGATGGAACTGGACATATTCAGGACGACTCCTTAGGAATTTTTCATGAGCAAGATAGTCTGCCCATAAGGAATTGCTTGCTCGGATTCGATCTAGGATCCCAGAGCGGTAGGATAACGTCTCAACCATCTCGGCTATCATGTCGATTCACAATGGGCATGGATAATCACATTTTCCCACCTGCCCCGTCCCAACGACCCAATCGGATCCAACTTATCAATTGTTTTATTTTGAGAAAGGTTTTTCGATCAGGACAGGCCCTGCCATAGGGCGAATGGAGCAGCCGCTCCTGGAGCTAAGTCCTAGGAGGCGCCTCAGTGGTAAAAAAAATTAAAGGGTATAAATTAAGGGCAACCAAGGGGGGCGCCATAATAGGATATCGCTCCATCCTAAAACTTGCCTCGAGCCGGCACTATTTTCGATATCCCCTCCTCCACACACGAGAGTGATATGTCCTTGAAAAAACATAGATCATATTTTTATTTCCTGAAATATTAAATGCTTTGCTAGAAGTCACTTTGGTAAGATTCCAGTTCTGAAAAGTGGTTGAAACTGTATCAGAGCTGTGGATCATGCCCATAAAAATAAAAAGTCAAAGAAATTGATGGTATACATGTGACCCTTTGCAAGATATATTCCCCTCAAATCAGCATATTAAACATGTGATGAGCTTAATGGAGCATGCCGTGTACCTTTAGATGTCTCCAGTAAAGTGAAAAACAATTGATTGCTAGCATTGTTTTGAGAAATAGTTCCAATTTTTAAAAACCTATTTCTGAGGGTCTTCAATATTCCAGACAGACAGATTTTGGGAGCTATACCTCACAAAGAATCACATGTAGCCCATTGGTTCCTTTTGACTTTTTTATTCCTATGGTCTACAACTCTGATAAGGTCCCAACAATAATCTCGGTTAATGGTAAAAATGGCCGGCAATAACTTAAATATATCGTTGAATAAATAATATCATAAGTAATCAATATTGATTATTTTCTTTTTAATTAGATGAATTAGTATATATTTTAGAAAATTTAAGACCAACACATGATGTAAATATAATATGATTAATTTTCATTCAATACAGTAATTCACGTGTTAAAAATTATATTGATATAAATTACCTTCTCCTTGTTCCACCTGATCTGCCCAACTTGGTTTCGTCCTATTAATAAAATTTACATAAATTATGTTATATTATCTGAAATTTATTAAAATATGACTTAATGTTCGTTCCATATTGTATACTCACTCAACGTCGGTCGACACCATCTTTTCTCTGTCGATTGAATAAAACTGCCAGATGACAATGANTGCAGTGCACACTATTCCGTGCTCATTTCAATCGGTCCGAGTCGTAGGTGGACGAAAATATGAAATAAAATGGTTCAAATTCTTACAAGATATTATTATTATTTATTGTGAAATTTTGCCGCTCCCTAAAACGTAATTTTGCCGCGCCCTAAAAAGTGCCGCCCCCACTACGCTACGCTACTGACAGTATTTAATTAAAAAAAGGTATATACAACTACTGTTTGCTTGATTTTTATTAATATGCGTACTACAGCTATTTTATTTTGTTTTATTTTGGCTTATCAGGAGACATGAATCCTGATAATTAAATATAAAACCACCAGATCTGATTATTTGGTGAAAACTAGGAAAAAGCCGCTATGTTGGTGGAATTTAAAAAATATAGTTTTAGAAATGACTGTATTACAATTCATATATACTGTACATATATTTAAAATTCGCGTTATCCGGTTGTGTGATCGAGTATGCAAACTGTAGGCATTATTTCGGACCATAAACAGTTGGACATAGAATTTTTTAAAATTATTTAATCCGTGCTAATAAACTATTATCGGAAACTATACACATTTCTCCATTATAAACGTTTTGCTTTTCGAGAAATATTTAAAAAAAACAACGCTGTAGCATTAAAATATATATATTTTTTATTTAAAAAATTAATGTGAGGTAGTATAATTAATAATTAACATTGCCAGGAGTGTTGAAAAGGTTTTAATCGTCAATAATACAACGACGTGGATTTTGTGTATTATTTACAATTATTCGAGCTCGACGAGCTTTAAATTATTCGAATTTGATTCGAAGTGACATTCGCACAGGCTTTTCTATGAAATTCAAAAACGCCTTTTCAGCTGATTTGTCGAAATCGCGCAGTTCCGAAAAGTGCATTCAAGCAATACTGACTAGTGAGTGTTAAAATCTCCTCGCTTAGCCGGCTCGCATAAAGATCCAGTGTAGATCGCTAAGCGAGTTTTTCCGGTTTTCGTAGCGGAAGAATCTATATGTAGTTAGTTAGGAGAATGATCTTTGAAGAAACGCAACGACCAATTTGTTAAGAAAATTTTTCGCAAACAGTCAATGTTTTCACTGTTTCGGTTAAGGTTATCGGAGAATCTGTGGAGATGTCCGTTTGCTCGATTTTTCAGGTACAGTACAGTCTAAACACATCCATGCACGGAACTGGCTAATGTCGTCTAAAAAAACGAAAGCGTCGGCGCGTGGCAATTATAAACAGTAAGTAGCGCGAAAATCGCGAGTCCGATGCTTAACCACTGCTCTTGAAAGCAAACGTCAGGAAACAGTAGACGTTGACTTTTCGAACAAGTCCAGATCCGTGCGTTGTCTACAATATTCTCATTCCAAAGACACTTTCATTTATCTTCTCCAGTTCCTCGAACGCGACCACGATTCGAAAATTTCAAAGTTTTACACCAAGACCGCATTGCTCAGCTGAAAACACGAAAATAATCGATTGTAACTGTGAAAACGTTACTTGGGAGTAGATAAAAATGATTGAAAGAATGCAAACGAGCTGTAAAGGTATTCTGACCGTCGGGGGTGTAGCTTAGATGGTAGAGCGCTCGCTTTGCATGCAAGAGTTACCGCGATCGATACTCGGCGTCTCCATCCCGTTGTAATTTTTTTCTCCCCCTCTACTCTTCGTCACACACGGAAATGTGGTACTCACGTACTGTAGATTGCCGCTTCCGACTTTATATGGACGGTGTACTTGCAGCCTGCTTCCGAAACAATATGAATTTTGGTGAACAGAAAAGTTCCAGAGTTGCAAAACGGAATTCTTTCGAGCCAGATTTTTGACAGAGTGTTGTTTTGTTTAAATTCTAGAGAAAATTATAACTTTAGCAAAAATCTGAAAAGTATTTCGATAATTCGATTACATCGTTTATCAAAACGATATGATCAAATTCAAACCGGATGTAATGAGATCAACTAGCTGAAATATCATCTATAAATAGTTCACTCTCAAAAATATCACTGGTACTAAAAGTAGGTTACGCGATCAGTTGCAAACGTCAGTGAGAAACGTTTCGCTAACTATTCTTCATGAACACTTTCACTACCTACAGCTTACAGCGACACGTCGGATGTTTATAAAATTCTCAGAAGTTAATTTGCAAATATTATGTACCGTATACGTCTATCGCACTCCGACTGTAATGAAGTGAAGTGTACACCTATGCACAGATACCGGTCGCTGTACTCGTCGTTAGCGTTTTTTAGAAGTGTGGAACGAAAAGGCGAATTACTTTTTGTGGTGCCAAAAAATTTATTCCTTGTAGACGTTTGTAAAAATAACAGGAGAAAATGGAGACGCCGAGTATCGATCTCGGTACCTCTCGCATGCGAAGCAAGCGCTCTACCGTTTGAGCTACGTCCCCACTGAAATTTCCTCTGTACCTCCCCACTGAAATTTCCTCCGTACCTCCGTACTTTCTGAAATTTCTTCCTCATTCGAATTCACTGAGGGACAGGAGTGAAAACTAACATCCAGAATGAACGAATTTTTTAAAAACGAGATTCATAAATTATCGGCGTGATAAAAATCAGCGCCTATGGTTGATTAAAAATTACTTTTGATAGTTTTTGCTTTCAATCCTTCGAAAAATTTTTGTTAAAGCTAATATAAAAATAAAAAGTGGCTCGGCAAACAAACAACAGGCGAAAATATTTTTGTATAAACTTGAAATAATAGTCACAGTTTCGAACGCAAGGAATTACTCCTGTCTTAAATCCAGTTCGGATTTTTTGCGCGAGTGACGAAGTTAGTTTTACGACATTTGTTCAGACGAAAATCACTTCGTTAAATTAATATTTAGTTGAAAAAGAAGTCAGTGCACTAAACGTTTTTTGTAATAAGAAAAATGATAACTAGCTGAAGGATCACTAATTAATAATATATGTCCAATTTTCTGTTTCGTTTGTTTGTTTTCATATTTATTATTTGTATGGTTCAAAAGTCTACAGCAAAGTATAACCTTTATGTTGTCATAACCGTAACTATGCCTCTCACATAGGGCGCGTTTGAAAATTCAAATCGGTAACACCGCGGTAGTAGTGACTGAGGTCATCGGTCATAGCCAGTTATTCCGGGCGATTAGTGCATTTTTAAACACGCTGGTTAGTTTGTGGTGTTCAACAAGGCGGAAAGCCGAGAGGAGATGATATTAATTTTAACATTGCTCTCGAATATAGATTCAGAATCATATGACGATGATGATTCGACAAGTTTATCAAAAGATGAAAACTAACTTGTAGAATTTTTTAAACAAGTATCGGAGAAAAATTTATCTTTGTTTAGTTTATACTGTGAAATCAATAATTTCGTAGCATTTGCTGGCCATTTTCCATGTTGTCTTGCCTTATCTGAAATTTGGGACGACATGGCTTTCTGATCTTGGTCGCTTTGTGTCGCGGAACCAAAATGTTTATTTTCTCTACATTTTTAAAATCACCGCCACATTCCTCGCCCGATACCAAGGACTATATACTACAAGGATAGCCAGATCCCTATTCTACAAAGTTAGTGACGTCAGCACGTGTCCTGACCTCTCTGTTTACATAGAGCAGGGTGTGCACGTGTTTAGTTTTCGCTTTTAATATTCGTCCAATTTTGTGATTAACGAAGTGATTTATTTTAATATTTCTGTAATTGTTTTATTTGACTAAGTTTTTTATAAGGTCAGATGATTTAAATATAAGTCATTAAATATTTAAAGCTATATTTTTATGTTAGGTGAAGAACAAAATGCTGAGTACTAGGTGTGCTGTGTATGGTTGCAATAATAACCTTCTTTTTTCAAATTGGAAGCAACCTGTTTACATCGGGTTTGATCAAAAAATGACAAGAGAAAT